AGACACAGCGACACACACACACACCCGCAGCCGGGCTGGGAGTTTGTGTGTGTGCCCAGGCTGAGTTCCGCGGTGTCTCGCTGTTTCGCCGACCCCACACCAGTGAGCCAGCTCACAGTGTCCGCTCCTTGCAGCAGCGAACCTCGCAACGTCCCTCCGAGTGTGTGTGTGTGTGAGGAAGTCTGCGGATTGGTCCAAACATAACGGCGTTACTATACCCGAAATACATCACTATAACCAAGAAATGTCCAACGAGGCGTTCTGGGGCAGCATAGACAGGTCTTCTCTGTGTTAGAGTTTTACTCGCTACAGGGTGTACTTTGAGGGTTTGTGACTCTGCAGACCGTTTACATGCAGAAAAACCTTCATAACACACAAGGGGACGGGTAATAACCAGAAAAGCAAGACATGGGACCTTTAATTCCCAAAAGGACTGCTTTTTGTAAATGCGGAGTTGGTGGCCTTTAATAGTTTAGCTTCCATACGCACACTACTGTCCGTTCCCAAAATTCACTGACTATGGGATCGTAGCCTCATTCAACTGCACTTTCAAACATCCCAACCTCTAAGAGGTGAGATTTAATGACGGAGAGGACATTGGAAGCAAGCAGGGTGATTCACATAACAAGAGGTTTTTTTTCTCATTTAAATTATTTGAATGTGGAAGAATGAGTAAGAAATAAAACAATGATATCATAGAGCGCCGCCTTTCAAGACCGTTTCAATGAAAAACTATGTAATAGGTATACTTAATTGAATATAGAAAGATTGGTTTTGCAGTTGATGTTGTTGCTTCATAGTAAGTCGTGCTGATCCATATAATATTGTATATGGTTCTTTTACTCTTAACCGGGTTTGAAAAGCCATTTTGAAGCGAAGCGCCGCTTAGATCTAAAAAGTGACACATGGCATTTAATGTTCAATGCTTTTTGTTTTGCATTATATGATATGGAAAGTACCAAAGGGCATGTATATCCATATCTGCACACCTCACTTACATGTTCACTATTATTCATGGGATATACTTATTTTTGGTTTTGTTATAGTTGGTAGATGAGATTGTTCGAGATAAGACCAAGTCGACAGTGAATGTTGGATATTTCATATTCACTATCCTTTAACGCGTTCATAGTAAAGATGACAAAATGAAAATTGAAATAAAGATGCAGAACTAAAAACCACATTTAAAAGGATTAGAAAGGAATTCCTGTGAATGAAAAAAACGCTAGAGAGTAGCGATATAATCCTTAGTTGGGTTATATTATTCTGATATAGTATCGACCTGCCAAAATAACCTACTTATTGAAGCATTTAAAATGGTTATAAATAATCACGTTGCAAGAGTATACCTCGCAGCTACCCCATGGTCCTTGTTACCAGTAATCTTGTAATAACGATTGCCGCTCTAAGAAGCTGCTATAAAAGGTACCCCGGAGAAAATTGAAGTAATGGCTTTCAGTATTATCTACGCTCTTTTAAAGGATATGCTTCTCAAAGTCCTTTGCCATCTAACATGACACAGATAAAAGGACCGGTATAGATCTCCAGAAATACTCTTCCTGAAATGCGTGTGTTAGTGAAAGTGCAACTTTATTGTCAATCTTTCAGTTGTGTGTACAGACGGAGGAGATTCTCAAGATGGCGCGGTTTGGTCTCCACTAATTTCCACCACTAAATATGCCAAAATCAATATTAAAAAGTATATATAAGAAAAGTGAATAGTAGTTAACCCACTTATAATATGGCTCTTGAAATAAATTCTCCAAATCAACAAACATTAAAGAGATCCTAAAATAATAGAAGCAAAAACAACAATCAGGGTGTAAGCAGCTATATCATAGAGAATATCAATATCGTATATGCAATCACTTTCATTCCAAATATACTCATGATAAATGCAATGAAACAACAAAGTGGGCAATTAGACTGATACTTCAAAATTACTATAGTGTAAGTAAAATGTGTTGTAAGTATAAGATCCGAGCTATGTATATAGATGTGGTACATTCTATTTAAGCAAAGTGAGTAGAATGTTAGTAGAGATTAGTATAATAATTTATCATCAAAGCATACTGATAAAGTACACATTTGTGGTATTTAACATTATGTACTTTCTATTAACATATAAAAATTATTATAATATGATGCTAATCTTTTAAACTCCACTACATGGTATTATATGGCGGTCTGTCGTGTAGGGTTAGCGTGTTCACAGATGTGGATTATGAATGAGGTATGCAATATAACCAAGTGTTAAATTCGACTTTTAGTTTCCATGCCTGGTGAGTAAAATCCTACTCCAGCTAACCCTGCAGATAACAAAGTATCGAAGACGTAAGCTGCACCTTTACCAGACTATTAGAACACTTATCATGATCCAATCATTATAAAACATATCATATATTATTGTATATTATATATTTGATGATTAAATACTTTTCTATCTTTTACTTGAGCGAACATTTTGACATTCGCCAGGATCTTTTACTTTAACAGAGTTATTCCTACACTCTNGCATAGACAGGTATTTTCTGTGTTAGAGTTTTACTCGCTACAGGGTGTACTTTGAGGGTTTTTGACTCTGCAGACCGTTTACATGCATAAAAACCTTCAATGAAGGTTTTTATGCATGTAAACGGTCTGCAGAGTCAAAAACCCTCAAAGTACACCCTGTAGCGAGTAAAACTCTAACACAGAAAATACCTGTCTATGCTGCCCCAGAACGCCTCGTTGGAGATTTATCTTTTTCCATTGTTTTCTTCCTGGGTATGGTGACGTGCCCATACCCAAATGGACCCATTGGTCCAAATGGACTAATCCGTTGAGCTCCTCACACACACACTCTTTTAGCGGTGGAAATGTGACGCGCTGGGGGGGGTGCTAGTGGAGCCTCGTAGCGCAGCGAAACTGTGGCGCGCTTACACTGTAGGTGCACGGCGTTTGGGGGAGCGGGGGGGGGATGCGGGTGCTAGTGGAGCCTCGCAGATGGGGCTGCTGCAGCCCCCTCAGCACCCCCCCCATTCTCGCATCCATTTGCGATGTCTCACAGCAAGCAGGAAACCACACCAGTAAGCCAGCTCACACTGTCAGCTCCTCGCAGCAGCGAGCCAGTGGGCGAGCTGACCAATCAGAGCTCACAGGGAGGGGGGGGCAGGAGCTTCAACAAGGCGTTTAGGACAGAGATTGACATTCAGTGAATACACATACTATACAGAGATGCTGTATGAGAAACCGATGTGAGTTTGGAAAATTGCGCAATATAAATCTATTCTAGCAGACCTCAACAATGGAATTATGATCAGTAGAAATGGCCGTGTCATGGGACCTTTGAGGTTGACAAGCGGCTCAAAAAGAATAAATGTCTCTTTTTGGACAAAAGAAAATCCAAATTAAAGAATTTAGTTATGACTCTCGCATTGCGTTAGTCCTCTACAATAATGAGTCATATGACAGGCACTTCAGCACCAGGTAAGAGCTCAGCAGTCTGCCCACCACAGGGGGAGCTGCTCTCTACACAGAGCTCTCGTCCGGCCTGGGCATCAGCTGAGTGTGTTTCCTCTTCTCTAACATCTTGTTGAGCTCCTCGGCAANCTTTAATCCTTCAAATAATACTTCAAACTACGCCAACCGGCTGCGGAGGGAGACTCCCCCCCCTCCACTGGAGAACTGCGCTAAAACAGCTGATCACAACGTTCACGCTCTGTGGTCACGAAGTACTCCNTGCAGATCGTCCCCGGTGAGGCCCATTTAACACCCAATAAGGAGCCTCCTCCCCCGGCCCCGCCTCTCCCACCCACCCCACAACATCCCTCTCCAGAGTCACTCTGGAGAGGGATGTTGTGGGGTGGGTGGGAGAGGCGGGGCCGGGGGAGGAGGCTCCTTATTGGGTGTTAAATGGGCCTCACCGGGGACGATCTGCAGGAAGCCACCGTCCTGGATGTCACCGTTGTGCTGCTTTGAACCGCCATTACAAATGCCGTTGCCGTTACAGTGGCTTGAGATGGTCTTCAGCTCCATGTGGGCAGAGTTTCTGTGCTGTTTCCTGTTCCTGTGTTGCTTCTTATTGTTGGGGTAGGCAGAAGCTGCGGCTCGTAGAGAGTACTTCCCTTGGTTGCCCACACGCAGGCAGAAGCCAACGTAGACAAGGACCACGGTGAGGACCACACACAGGCCCCCGAGGATGGTGATGAGGGATAGATACATGGCCTCCATATTGCGGGGGGAGAGCAGATCTGAGTGGGGGAGGAGAGGGGCCGGGTTGGGTGGGAGGGGTCTCTCAGTGAAGGGATGCTCAGTGGGTCCGGGCAGAGTGGCGAAGAAACTGTAAGTGTCTTGAGTTGGTGCAACAGGTGGAGGAGGGGGAAGATCCAGGCGGATGGTGACATTGTAGGCAACCAGAGCGACCTTGATTCTGTTCTCGACGGCGTAGCAGGTGTACAAGCCGCTCTGGTGCCGCCGGGCCTCGATGATCAGCAGGCCGTCGGTGCCGGTTCTGAATCCAGAGTGGAGACCGTAGCCCTGCAGCTCGCTGCCGTCCAGAGTCCAGAGCGGTGTCGCCAGGTTGGAGCTGAGCTCACACTGCAGCAGCACGTCATCGCCCACACGCACAGAGCGGCCGCGCACCACAATGTCTGCAACACACATGCTCGAGAGTGAGTCACATCATATCGACATAATCATCAACATATGCTTAAAGCTATTATTGTGGCGCTAAATAACCTGGAGTCCTTTTATCTTATATTCTCTAAAAGAAACTGTGAAATCATTTCAGATTATTCACACATTGTGTAAAATGGTTCTTTCGAAGGTGATAACTCCTGGATTTTTTTCAATCAGGCTTTATTTATCGTTTTTCTCCAGTGATAGCGATGAAGAGAGCTTTTTAAAGACACTCACAGAATATTCATACTTATCCGTTTAATAGTAATTAACCATCATCACTTTATAGAGTGTTCCTTTTAGCCTTTTTATCATCTGATTCCTTTATGTCGATTACTAAACACCTACTATGCTGTCTGAAGTTATTGAGGCATAAACTTCAATTCCATATCTTTAATTTCTCATTTGTGCCACTGTGTAACTTTGTACGGAGAGCGGACAATGAGAAAGCAGAGAAAGCTACATTTCTATCGGATTGAAATTGTAAAGCGAGAGAAGGCATTTTCCTGACTTGAATATCAAACAGATTTCTCTCCAGAGATGGCATAAATGTGATTAGAAAAGAGAAAGGAGGATTTTGCCAACGCAGTGTGCATAATCAACTTTCAAAGCCTTCATGCCATCTGATGACAGCCAAACGTCTTTTGAGCCCCTCCTAACCTTCTCTATTTTTAATCTCCTTTTCATCATTCACTGCGTTAAAAGCAAACTTTATTTTAAAAGCATAACTGCACATGAGATTTCTACATACCGTCTTGTGTGTTTTCACAACCTCTGCTGCCCTTCTGGATATCCTGGATTAAAGTGGATCTGTGAGGGGGAGAACACATAATAGAAGTGTATAGTGCAAAGGACAAACACATACTGGCAGTAACATAACAAACATTGTTGTTACATATACTGAGATCTCTTTTTCCTCCTACTTCAACTTTATGTTATATCTGTCTCGTATAACGTATTGCCTCAATAACAGTGTTTTACTGAGTAATCAAATCTGTCCTGGTTTTATCAGTGCCCTTTAAGTCAGTGGTCGCCAACCGGTCGATCGCGAGTGTGGTGCGGGTAGATCGCGGACCGTTAAAAAAAAAGTAACAAAAGAAAGAAAAATTAAATTAAAATAATAATGTTCGAAAAATACGTTTTTAGATGTAAACCTATCATCCACCACCCCGTTAGCAGGTGCCACTTGATTAACGTATATTTGAGACACCTCAATAATATAATACATTAACCGTGCTTTACGTGAACCTCATCATGACACAAGAGACAACGGCAGGACTGCAATTTCCCGTGTTCAGTGAACGCAACAGAGGCAAGACACCAGATCAATCAGAGAGTTGCATGGAAATACACGTGTGCTTGTGTCATTCAAGCTCGGCTCTGTGTGTGTGTGTGGCAATAGCGCATTTAGTGTGGGAGAGAGAGAGGGAGAGAGAGAGAGAGAGAGAGAGAGAGAGAGAGAGAGAGAGAGAGGGAGAGAGAGTGGGAGAGAGGGAGAGAGAGGGACCGGTGCTAGCGGGGACCTTGATGTTACTATCTGGTTAGCTAGCTGCACTAACGGACATAAGGAGCTGTTTCCACAACAAGCTGGAGGAGAGTCCTCTCCTTCAGACTGAGGGGCTCAGGTGAGCTAAAGGACTCTGAGTGTTTAGAACAGTTTTGTCACAAATTATTCAAAAGATTATTTCCGCGGCACACCTTCATATGATCATTATAGTTATACAAACAATAAGAGAATAAATGAAAAACAGGTATGAAATAGCCTACTATAGGCAGTAAAACAAGAATACAGTTTAAAAGGGGAGTGATTTGTAAAATATCCATAAAGAAAAAGAAAATCTGTTTACAGTTCTGTTTCATATGGGTGCTGAGAGGTATCCATAGATCTCTTCATGTTGCTCTCAAAGTGCACCAGATTGATGCTTTCAACTTCAATATTTAAAAAAAAATCTTCCCGGGGGAGCATCCCCCCAGACCCCCTAGAGGAGGTGAGGACCTAGAGGAGGTGAGGACCCCCCTAGAGGAGGTGAGGTCCG